TCATTTGCAAATATCTTCTCCTATTCTGTAGGCTGCCTTTCAGTTAAGACTGTTCATTTTAAAGTGAGCCCATAGAATTTATGGGAATGAGGGGAAGGGAGAGGGCTTGTCTACTGCATTTGGCTTGCACAGAACTCATATAGACCTGAAAGGACTTTAGGGAATGTTTACTTTTGATTTAGTCTGAAATACAGATAATTTATTCACAAACAGGCCACTGGCTCCTGTTGTTCTTAACTGTCAGTTACAACCACTTTAAGCCCAAATGTTTATAATAAAAATGTAAAAGGCCTTATTCGTATCAAACATAAGTTACAAAACTTTCTTTTAAAAATCATGGAAGATAGGAAAAATCAGATCTAAACTATATATTCAATTGAGATCTTCTCAATTTTACTGAATTTTAAAGTGTTTTTCTTTGTTCTCTAGAACTAGAGATCTTGGTGGCATATTAAGTTCTGTCCATTAAAAGCCAGATTCAATTAGGAAAAACTATAACTGGACCATCAATACTCCTGCACAGCATATGAAAATCCTACTTTGCCTTAAAGGAAAGTATAGATGTGCAAAAAAAAAAAAAAAAAGGCAGTGATTTGTGTGGGCATGAATCAAATGCCATCCATTCACCTTTGGTATTTTAAACCACTTATGTACCAGGCTTTAGTTGGCCCCCAAAAGCAACTGTAACAGCCCTGGATGCTGCAACCCCCTTTCCTCTGTTTGCTCTCTTCTGCCTGGTCCCCATTTTTCTGGCTTGGTAACATCAACCCTGATGTCCTTCAGTGCTAGTGATCTTCTAGACTGCTCTCCTATCTTCTTGGATTTTGGCTTTGTTCATTCTTTCAGTTCTGGAATCCCCAGGCATCTTGTGAGAACTTCCCATTTTAGTCCCTGAACGCTGACAATTCCACTCAATGGTCTGCATAGTGTTGGGAGTGGGTGGGATTAAGTCACTGTCTCTCCCAATGAGGGATGTAAACTTCACTGTTGAAAAAGTGAATTATTTTTTTCAGAGGTAGTCCAGTGTGGGGCTTTAAGTACTGGGATATTCTGGGAAAGCTGACCTACATCCAGTGATATCATTCATCAGGCTTTGTGGTGAGCACGAGGGGCATGATGACCATCAGATACTCCCAATTTGAAAAGCCAAAGTACCTGTGCTCCAAGAACAGTGACCGACTGTGACATGTGCAGCCAAACAAGACTAGGTCCCTGTCCTAGGGAGGTTACATGAGGGGCAGGCATGTGTATCAGTTTCCTACCAATAATGTGATAACACATTGTCACAAGCTAGTGGCTCAAAACAATACAAATTTCCAAAATAAGTCTTACTGGGCTAAAATCAGGTGTTATCAGAGCTGTGTTCCTTCTAGAGGCTCCAGGGGAGAATTTGTTTCCTTGCCTTTCACAGTGTGTAGAGTACAAATGCATTCCTTGGCTTGTGGCCCCTTCCTCCATCTTCAAACTCAGCAGGAGAGCACCTTCAAGTCCCTCTAATGCTCACTTTACCGCTTCCCTCTTTCACTTACAAGGACCTTTGTAATTGCATTGGGCCCACCTGGATAAACCAGGATAATCTTCCCATATCAACATCTTAACTTAATTTCTGCAAAATCTCTCTTGCCATGTGAAATAACACATTCACAGTTTTGGGGGATTAGGATATAGATATCTTTGGCAGGCCATTATTCTTTCCCCCATTTTTTTTGTGTTAAAATACATATAACATAAAATTTACCATCTTATTTTAGGTGTACAGTTTATTGGTATTAAATACATTCATAATGATGTGTAACCTTCACCACCAACCATCCCCATAACTCTTTCATCATGTAAAACTGAAACTCTCTACCTATTAAACAAAACTCCCCACCACCCCTCCCCTCCACAACCACCATTCTACTTTCTGTCTCTATGACTTTGACTCCTCTAAGTACTTCATGTAAGTGGAATCATCACTGAATATTTAGTTTTTTTCATGACAGGTTTATTTCACTTAGTATAATGTCCTCGAGGTTCATCCATGATATAGAATATGGCAGAATTTCCCTACTTTTTAAGGCTGAATAATATTCCATTGTATGTATACACCACTTTTTGTGTATCCATTCACCCACTGATGAGCACTTGGGTTGCTTCCATGTTTTAGCTATTATAAATAATGCTTCTATGAACACAGGCATACAAATATGTCTTTAAAATCCTTTTTTCCAATTCTTTCAGACAGATGCCCAGAAGTGGAATTGCTGGATCATATGGTAATTCTATTTTTAATTTTTTGAGGAACTGCCATGTTTTCCACAGCAGCTCTATCATTTACACTCATACCAATAATGCACAAGGGTTCAAATTTCTCCACATCCTCACCAACACTTGCTTTTTTTTTTTTCTTTTTTTTGGATAGTAGCCATCCTAATGGGTATGAGGTGTTATCTCACTATAGTTTGGCTTTGCATTTCTCTATTATCAGTAACGTTAAACTTCTTTTCATGTGCTTATTGGGCATTTATATATCTTCTTTGGAGAAATGCCTATTTAAGTCTTTTGCCCCTTTTGTAATAGTGTTTTGTTGTTTTGGAGTTTTAGGAGTTTTCCATGATTTCTGTATATTAATTCCTTGTCAGATATATAATTTGCAAATATTTTATCCCATTCTCCAGGTTGCCTTTTTACTGTGTTGATATTCTCTTTTGATGCATAAATTTAAAAAATTTTCACGAGGTCCAATTTGTCTACTTTTTCTTTTACTGTCAATGTCTCTGGTGTCCCATCTTTTACTGCCAAATCCCAAGTCCTGAAGCTTCTGCTCCATTTTCTTCTGAGTTTAATAGTTCTAGGTATTTGAGCCATTTGAGTCATAGTGTTTGAAAAATGTCCACCTTCATTCTTTTGCATGTGGATGTCCAGTTTCCCCAGCACCACCTGTTGAGATTGTCTTTTCCCATTCAATGGTCTTGGCACCCTTGTCAAAAATCATTTGTCCATATGTTTGAGGGTTTATTTCTGGGCTCTCAATTCTGTTCTGTTGTTATATATGTCTATATGCCAGTATCACACTGTTTTGCTTACTATGGTTTTTTTTTCTTTTTGAAGTTAAGTTTTGATATCAGGAAATGTGAGTACTCCAGCTTTGTTCTTCTTTTTCAAGATTGTTTTGTCTATTGGGGTCCCTTGAGATTCCATATGAATTTTAGGATCATTTTTTTCTATTTCTGCAAAAAAAGTATTAGAGATTTTGCTAGAGATTACATAAAATCTACAGATTGCTTTGGGAAGTAATGACTTCTTAACAATATTGTCTTCTAATCCATGAACGTGGAATGTGTTTTCAATTATTTATACCTTCTTTAATTTCTTTTGGCAATGTTTTGTACTTTTCACTGTAAAAGTCTTTCACTTTCTTGGTTAAATTAATTCCCAAATATTTTATTTTTTTGATGCTATTGTGAATGGACTTGTTTTCATAATTTCCTTTTTGAGATTGTTCATTGTTAATGTATAAAAATGCAACTGCTTTTTGTGAGTTGACTTTGCATTCTGCTACTTTGCCAATTCATTTACTAGTTTTAACAGGTTTTTCTTTTTTTTTTTTTTGGTTTGAAATCTTTAGGGTTTTCTACATATAAGATCATATCATTTGCAAACAGAGATAATTTTACTATTTCCCTTCTGATTTGGATGCTTTTTATTTCTTTTTCTTGCCTAATTGCTTTGGCTAGAAATTCCAGTACTATGTTGAAGTGGAGGAAGTGGGCATCCTTGCCTTGTTCCTTATCTTAAAGGAAAAGCTTCTAGTCTTTCACCATCACTATGATGGTCCCTGTGGGATTTGCATATATGGTTTTTATTATGTGGAGGTACTTTCTTTCTATTCCTAGTTTTCTGAGTGTTTTTAAATTTTTAAAAAAAATATTTTATTTATTTGAGAGGGAGAGAGAGAACATGTGCACACGTATGAGCAAGGGGAGAGACAAATGGGGAGGGAGAGGGAGATAGAAAATCTCTCAAGCAGACTCCGCTCTGAGCATGGAGCCTGATGTGGGACCTGATCTTACAACCCTGAGATCATGATCTGAGCTGAAAGCAAGAGTTAGACGTTTAACCAACTGAGCCACCCAGGCACCCCAAGTGTTTTTATAATGAGAGGGTGTTGAATTTGTCAAATGCTTTTTCTGTATCAATTGAGATGATCATGCATTTTTGTTTCCATCATTCTGTTAACATGGTCTAATTACAACGGCTGATGTTCATGTGCTGAACCATTTTTGCATTGCAGGAATAAATCCCACTTGGTCATGATGTATAATCCTTTTACTATATCTGCTAAATTTGGCTTGGTAGTTTTGTTGGACATTTTTACATCAATGTTCATAAGGGATATCAGTGTGTAGTTTTCTCTTTTTGTAGTGTCTTTGTCTGGCTTTGGTTTCAGGGTAATGCTGGCTTCATAAAATGAGTTACGAAGTGTTCCCTCCCCTTCAATTTTTGAGAAAAGCTTGAGAAAGATTGGTGTTAGTTCTTTAAATGTTTGGTAGAATTCACAACTGAAGCCATCAGGTCCAGGGCTTTCCTTTGAACATTTTTGATTACTGATTCAATCTCCTTACTAGTTCTATAGGTCTATTCAGATTTTCTTTTCCTTTCTGATTTAGTCTTGGTAGGTATTTTGTTTCTAGAAATTTATCCATTTCATCTAGGTTATCCAATTTGTTGGCATATGTTATTAATAGCGCCTGCTTATAATCCTTTTTATTTCTGTAGAATTGATAGTAATGTTCCCGCTTTCTTTTCTTCCCTCACCTTTACTGAGGTATAACTGACAAACAAAATTATAACTTATTTAAAGTGTACAAAATGAATATTTGCTATATGGATACACCGTGAAATGATTCTCACAATCAAGTTAACACATCCATTACTTCACATAGTTTTTTTTTTTTTTTTGGTGGTAGAATGTTTAAAATCTACTCTCAGTAAATTTCAAGTATATTTTAACTATAGAAAACATGGAACACTTCAAGAATTTGAGTGTCATCCTTGTGCAGGGGCCATACTAATCTCCTCTGTATTATTCTAGTTTTAGTATATGTGCTGCCAAAGTGAGCACCCCATTTTCATTTGAGTTTAGTAATTTGATTCTTCTCTCTCTTTTTTCTTAGTTCATCTAGTTGAGGGTTTTGTCAATTCTGTTGCTCTTTTCAAAGAACTCAAACTTTGGTTTCACTGATGTTCTCTATTGTTATTTTATTCTCTATTTCATTGATCTCTGTTATAATCTTTATTATTTCCTTCCTTCTGCTAGCTTTGAGTTTAGTTTGTTCTTCTTTCTCTAGTTCCTTAAGTTGTATAGTTTTTTTTTTTTAAAGATTTTACTTATTTATTTGACAGGGTGAAGGAGAGAGAGCGAGCAAGCATGAGTGGGAGGGAAGGGTGGGGCAGAGGGAGAGGGAGAGGGAGAGGCAGACTCCCTGCTCAGCAAGGAGCCCGATGTGGGGCTCCATCCCAGGACCCTGAGATCATGACCTGAGCCGAAGGCAGACTCTTAACCAACTGAGCCACCCAGGGGCCCCTGTATAGTTAGGTTGTTGATTTGAGATATTTCTTTTTTAATGTAAATGTTTATAGTTATACACTTACCCCTCATCAGTGCTTTTATTGTGTCTTGTAAGTTTTGATATATTGTGTTTTCATTTTCATTCATCATTATTTTCTTTTTTATTGTTATGTTAATCACCATACATTACATCATTAGTTTTTGATGTAGTGTTCCATGATTCATTGTTTGCATATAACACCCAGTGCTCCATGCAGTACGTGCCCTCTTTAATACCCATCACCAGGCTAACCCATCCCCCCACCTCCCTCTCCTCTAGAACCCTCAGTTTGTTTCTCAGAGTCCATAGTCTCTCATGGTTCGTCTCCCCCTCTAATTTCCCCCCTTTCATTCTTTCCTTCCTGCTATCTTCTTCTTCTTCTTCTTCTAACATATAATGTATTATTTGTTTCAGAGAAGTATTTTCTAATTTCCCTTGTGATTTTTTCCTCGATCCATCTGTTGTTTAAGAGTGTGTTGTTTAATTTCCATAAATTTGTGGATTTTTTAGTTTTATTTCTGTTACTGATTTCTAACTTTATCCTGTTATAGTTGGAGAAGATACTTTGAATGGTATCTATCTTTTTAAATCTCCTGAGACTTCATCTTTGGCCTAATGGCTGGTCTATCCTGGAACATGTCCCAGGTGCACTTGAGAAGAATGTGTACTTTGTTTTTTTTTGGGTAGTGTTCAGGAGAGGCATTATTCTGCCTATCACAATGGGACTAGTTAGTCACGATTCACGCATTTATTCAACAAATATTTATTGAGGACCTACTCTGTGACAAGCACTACACAAGGCACTAGGATTCAGCAGTAAAATCTATGCCCTTTTCCTGATAAAGCTTACATTTTAGTGCAGGAGGATACTAGGAACAAATAAACAATATATGTAATATATAGTATGTCAGGTGTGCAAAATGCTCCAGAGAAGCAGGGGACATGGCCAGGGATGAAGATGTAGGTGAATGTGTAATACTATTTTATATAGGATGGTTGGGGAAGCTCTTCTTCTTTTTTTTTTTTTTTTGAAGATTTATTTGTTTATTTGACAGAGAGAGACAGCAAGAGAGAGAACACAAGCAGGGGAAGCAGGAGAGGGAGAAGCAGGCTTCCAACGTGGGGCTTGATCCCAGGACCCTGGGATCATGACCTGAGCTGAAGGCAGACGCTTGACGACTGAGCCACAAAGGCGCCCCAGGGGAAGCTCTTTCTAAGGTGTTAAGTTAGCAGAGTTCTACAGAAAGTGAGGAAGGAAGCCATGAGGCTATCTGAGGCCAGGGTATTTTTGACAGAAAAGCATCAAGTCTCAAGTCTTGGAGTCAGGAACATGCAGGACATGTTCAAGAGACAGCAAGGCCAGTGTGGCTACAGCAGACTGAGTGAGTGGAAGAACATTAGGAAACAAGATCAGAGAGGCCAGGGAGAAGATCAGGTAGGGTCTTATAGACCACTGTAAGGACATTATAAGGATTTCACTGAATAAGAAAGAAAGTCATTGTAAGGTTCTGAGCAGAGGAGTGATGTATCTGACTTAGGATTAAAAATAATCACTATAGCTAATTGGTTGAAAAGCTTTTAGAAGAGCCAAGGCAGGGGCAGGGAGGCTGTTTGAATTATTCAAGTGACAGATCATGGTGGATGAACCAGGCTGGTAGCTATGAATGTGGTGAGAAGTGGTTGGATTCTGAAAACCTTCAGATGGGAAAGCCAATAGGATTTCCTGATAGATTGGATGTGGGTGTGAGAGAAAGAGGAGTGAAAAATGGCTCAGTGGATTTTGGCCTGAATAATTGGAAGAATGTGGCTGCCATTTATAGAAATGGGGAAGACAGTGGATAGAGCATGACTGGGGTAGAAAACCAGGAGTTCAGACTTAAACTTGTTAAATTCAAGAAGCCTATTAGACATCCAAGTGGAGATAATGAATTGGAATTTGGATAAAATAGCTTTCCAAGGGTAGCTATTTTTGTCAGTTTTGTCCCCAGGGCTTAAAACAGTGGTCTGACACAGTAGCCACTCAACAGACATTTGTTGAATGACTGAATAAATATACAAGCCTAAGGTCAGAGGAGTGGCTGGGCTTGAGATATTTGGGAGTCATCAATACACACACAATATTTAAAGCCAGGAGCCTATCCAGTAAGTGAGCATAGACAGTGGTTTGAGGATTGAACCTTGGGATATTTAAACATTTAGAAGCTGGGGAGAGAAGAAAAAATCAGCAAAGGAAACTAAAAAATAGAAACCAGTGGAGTAAGAGGAAAACCAGAAAAGTATGGTGTCCTAGAAGCAGAGTGAAGATAGTTTCAAGGAGGAGGAAGTAATCAATAAAAAAGTTTAACTAAAAATAAATGAGAACTGAAAAAAGGATGAAATTTATAGAAATAACTGTTAAATCCTACTTTTAGATTTTATAAAAACTAACCACATATGTTTGGAATGAGAAGATGGTATGTGGCAGGGGATTGGAATGCACCTCTCAGGGGTAAGTGGGGAAAAAGGCTTAGCAAATGAGCTGCCTAACAGTTAAAATGAGGAGAGTGTTGCTTGTTTACCAATGACTATAATTCAATTTTGACTGAATTAATAGGAGCACAATGTACATAACTAGAAAGGTCCAGTCCTGCTCCCTGCCCTGGAAGAATGGGCTCCAGCACTGGGTGCGATACTACATTCAGGACACTGATGTATAAGTAAATTCCCTAGGAAAGTGCCTCGTGTGGTAGAAGTATCTGGAAACAATGTCATCCGAGGAAGATTTGAAGGAATTGGGAAATTTATCTCAGAACTGGAGGCCATAAAGGTTATTTTCAAACTGAAGAGGTATTATATTGTTATTTATGACCCCAGAGAAGAGACATTACCTGAAAGCAGATAGTAGATAAACTTATGAAAATCCTTCTAAGAATTAGAACACCCCAAAGCAATGTTGGTAAGCTACTACTTTCTTCCCCATTCTGGAAAAAGTGGAGGATCACATCCAGTCAAGTGGCAGAGGGCACTCAAACCTTAGCTGGGCATGGAACACAGCATTGTCTAAGACTCTGTTCAGTAACAGAATGTTGTAACAGCTGTGAATCTACTTTGAAAATTATATCTCCTGCACACACACACACACACACACACACACACACACCCTATAGCTTGTTTGATGCAGATCTAATTTGGAGCCCCATTGAAGGGAATGTGGATGACTTAGTGGAGATATAAGAGGGAGAGAAAACTGAAGGTGGGAAAGATGTATGTGTAAGCATTCTAAGATAGCTGGGCATTTTATTAGAGAAGAGAAAAACTATAGGGACAATTAAAGAGTAAGATTATCAAGTAGGGTGAGGCTGGCTAATATTTGGGAGGATTTCCAAAGTGTCTGATGACGAGTTTCAGTTGAACTCAAAGAGGAACTTCTGAGAAGGAAACCTTTCTGGGAAGAGAAGTGACAGATGATGAAAAGAGATGGACATTCTTGCTGTTTGGAACCAACAGACTGGAAGAGGCTGGAGAAAGAGGAAGACCAGGGGGACACCAATGGGAACAGGAGGTAAAGGGTGAGGTCACTAAGAAGAAACTGGGGCTGGCAGAGGTCCGAATGGAGGCCCAAGAAAGTGGAAGATACAGAGGTGATGACCTCAAGATAGTCTGGGACACCAAAGGTGGAAGGAAGAAGGGTCAGGGAGGAGCCCAGGAGGTGAGAATGCAAGGAGCTCTGGGTGACTGACAACAGGATCTAGTTCTGGATCTTGGAACTGCAGGCTAGGGATGCTATCCAAACATGCCTCTCCAATGGGACATTTCTGACCTCCTAACTTTCGCTTTCTCATAGTCACTGTAAGTAGCCAAGGGCCCTGTGCTGATTTTGGCTAGTTTTGCTGATGTTTTGGCTTCTCCTATCTTCAGAATTTGTTAGTTAGGCTGAAGGAGCGCTGCCAGAGGCTCTGCTGTGTGGCCAAGTGGAGGCAATTACTTCTGCTGGGTGAGTAACTGGGTGGAAAAACTGTCATATTGGGGCTGCATGATGACGGCAGTACCCTCTGACTGACCTTTTCTGCTTCCCTTCTTGCACCTCTAACACATTCCTCACAGAGTAAACAGATGCTCTTTTTACTTTTTAAGTAATCAGATCATGCCACTCTCTGGCTTAAAATCCTCACGTGGCTTCTCCTCATACATAGAATAAAACCCAAACTTCTACTCTCTCCGTCCACATCTCCTGGCCCTTACTTTGACTTCATTTAGCACTTTCTTTCTCATCACATTCCAGTATTCTGCCTTTTCTGTTTCTGGAACACACCCACCTCAGATATTTGGGAGTCATCAACTTAGCATTCTTCTTAACTACAATATTCTTCCCTTGGATCTTTACATGACTGACTACTTAGCTTCAGTGTCATCTCCCCAGAGAGGTCTTCCCTAACCACCCCACCTACAGAAGCCCCTTCCCAAGCCACTGTGCTATATTACCCTGCTTTATTTTCTCATATTGCCATCACTAACTCATATTATCTAATTTGTT